AGGAGGATCTGTTCCATGATCTTCCCAGGCACAGAGGTGAGACTGACTGGCCTGGAGTCCCCCGGGTCTTCCTTTGTTCCCTTTTTAAAGGGGAAATGATACAGTGGGAACAATCAACATGATTTTTTGAAGAGTCCTGTGAAAAGAGATCTTTAAGGAGTCAGTAAGCCTGGGGATAAGGGTGATTCATCTGATTTAATGTCTCGAATTTGCCGGGAGCTCTCAACAGACTTCCCACTCAGTTTCTGCTTACGTAAAAGAACAACGTTGTTACAGGTAGGGTGGTGAGGGTTTTCTCGTAGATTAATAACTGATGAAGAGATATGGAAGATGCAGGATTAAAGTAAATACTTGTGTTTTATAAGGGAAGGAGATTTGCCGGCACAGTCCTGGTTTGTCTCTTACCTATCTCCTCCCCTCTGAAATGTGTGTTTAACGTACTGAGAAAATGATTATTTTATTTAGCATAATGATTTAACATAAACAATATGGAGAAGGAACCGAAGAGAGAGGTGATGATTTGAAGGTGAAGAATCATTCAGTATAAGCAAATGTAAAGCTTATGACCTAGAAGTGTAGTAAGATCTTGACAATTTTGCTTGACCAGGCAAGAAAATAGCACATGAAACTCATGTTAAAAAGAGAAAAGCAGTCAGTTAGGGAGAAAATCGCTGCCTACAGAATAAAGAACTCTGAATAGCCATTACCGTTTAAGAAAGAGAGACTATAACTGGAAAATGGAGTGAAGGACAAAGAAATGGAGACTTCGCCCATTATATGTTTCTAATCCTTGCTCTAGGTTACGTCACTAGGAAAAGAGGTATTTTGAAAGGGTCTTAAAACCCTTCCTAGGCAGCACAGTTCCTGTTTTAATAAGTTGAGTGGCTGTGTGACCCAATATATGTTACGTGCTATAATACAGTTGTATTGTCTAAACTAAACATGTTCACTTTTGTGGTGAGATTAACGTTCTAAAAATGCATCTTTTATCTTAATATTAGTAAGTCCTTAGGTATTCCGGTAGTGGTGGCCACCTCGATATCTGTAAGTATTTCTCCATTTAGCTGCGATTGAGCTGATAACACCTTCTTCTGTTTGAACTCTGCAGGGCTGTCCACATTTCTAAATCGCATCAAGTTTCTCCTTAAACTGTTCAGATTTTATCTGTCTTGCAGCCCTTTTGGAGTTACTGCCTTCTTGCAGATACTCAGCTTCTTTTGTTGCTTCTCTCTTGACCGAGACTCTCAAGGACAGAACTTAGCATTCCTGAAAAAGTCACTTCTCATATCAGCTGCCCCATTTGAAAATAAGCTGAAGGACTGAGTCCTGCAAGGAGCGAGTTGGAATTGTTGAGTGGAATGAGTAGCATCTCAAACATCATAGGACTTACTCAGTTATTTAGTGTCTGCTC